GAGCACCGTGTTCAGGGCCCTGCGGGACGGGGGCTGCGGGGCCCACGCAGCCGCCACCCCCAGCCTCTGCTCGATCTCCTCACACACATCACGGATGCCACTGCATGGACAACAGAGCAAGACTGTCTCAAAAAAAAGGAAAAAAGGAAAAAAAGGAGGGCATCTGAGATTACCAGACTCCAAGGGGTCCATCTGGGATCTGAAATCGGTGAGCAAACACCAGACTTCCCACATGTCGAGGGGATCAGCTCTGGAACTCAGTCGAAAGTCAGAACTACCACGTGTCCTTGCTATGAAACTGGAGCTAACCCATGACACGTGTGTGCACCAAGGAAGTAAAACTCGGTGGAAATCAGGCGGGGGGCGGGGGGCGAAAACCCACCTTACGGGGACAGTGATCACTATCTGGGTGATGGCGCACGTACAGCCCCGACGCAGGCAGCAAGAGAGCCATCCGTGTCACCAAAACATTCGTACCCCCGCGATATTTTGAAAAAAAAATGTGAGCAAATAAAAATAAATTGTAATCCCTGATATTTAAACAGTTAAGACAAGAAGTCAGAACAAGCGCAGAGAGAAAGCGCAGATCCCACACACGATCTCAAGCCCAGTCCGCAGGCAGCTGCCCGTCGTCCCCAGAGCTCTGCGCGTCCCCCAGGGCCAAGCGCCAGTCGGTGGCGTCTCCTTCCTCCTGCCCCGTCTGGAGCAGCTGCTTGGGGGATGATGCTTTTCCAGGCTAATGTCGAGGCGAGGCCTCTCCGCAGCACGTGTGGACTCGACAACTTCATCTGAGCTGAGGATCCGACCTCGCGGTCCACGCGAACAGCATGTTCTCCTCATCGCGGGGCACCCGTGCTTGGTTTCCAGCGGGTAGATTTGTCGCTGGCGGAATCCGTACTGCCGACGTTCTTATTGCCAGGACGGGTGTGGGGGGGAGCGTTTGCTGTCCTGTCTCTGGGCCCTCGGTGTTGGGGGCGGGGGGTGTTGAGCAAGGTGACCAGATGCAGTGACTTGGTTTCTGGGTCCCGAGGCTCCAGTGTCCTCTCCGCAGCCACCTGGGGCAGTGAGGATGGGTGGGGACGGGCCAGCTCCCAGGCCAGGCTGTGGCCCCCAGAGCAGGACATCTCAGCCTCTCCCTCTGCCCACCGCTGCCAGCGCTCACATAATGGGGCGTCTGGCGAAGCTCTGCAAACCCCAGCCCTGCGCCGGCCGCCGGGTTTGTAAATAAAGTCGTGTTGGAAGACGGCCAGCTCCATTCCCTCGCCTGTGCCGCCTTCGCCCTGCAAGGCAGAGTCTCCGAAAGCCAAAAATGTTTACAATCTGGGCCTCTGTGAAAGAGCTCACCAGCCCCTGGCGGGAGGCAGGAGTCTGCCTGGCCACAGAGAGTCACCCCCAAACACGCGTGTGCGCGCCGATGTCTGTAAGCAATGCTGCCACCTTTCCCAGCGTGCAGGGGCAGGGAGCGCGGGCGGAGGTGCAGCGCCCACACCCCTGCAGGTCCCACCTCGGCCCACGCGGGACACTGCCACGCCTCACAGATACGCAGTTCGTGCATTTCACTGAAACGCCAGTTTCGTGGCGGAACTCCAGCAAGCAGGATAGAGGAGGGTCAAGTTTTCATTCGTGATCTTGGGTTTGGGAAAATTTCCCCCAAATAGTTCAGACGGCATCTTTTAGAGGAAAATAGATTGCACTTTTCCGTGATCATTTTTCCGAAGAACTTTATAAATCACGCCGAGAGCGACGGGTCCCCACTTTCTTCCAAGGTAGGGAAACCTGTCCAAGTGCAGCCTGCCGGGAGGCTCAGATCCAGACGATGGCCCTTTGTCCAGACTGACCAGCGTTCCGGCCGTGTGTTCCGGAAGGAGCCCGTCCCCGCAGGGCCTGAGGACCTGACCTCCCGGAGCCAAAGCCGCAGGAGCCAGCTCTGCCTCTGCCTTCCTGGGGTGGAGCCGGCGCAGAGCGCAGCAGATGCAGGAGGCGGACGCCGGCCTGGACGCATCCTTGGGGCCTGCCGGGCCTGACGCCCACCTGCCCCCACCCTTCTGGGCCCCGAGCCCTCCGTTCCCCAGCCTGAGCTGGCTTTGCCCACATGTGCCCAACACGGTCCTGACGCACACGGGCGGGGCTGCCGCCTTCCCATCCCACAGAAGCGGAAACTGAGGGCAGAGAGCCGGGTCGCTGTCAGCCTGCGCACCTCGCGGGGAGCAGGTCCTGAGCCTTCCTCAAAGGGCTGGGCGTTCTCTCGCTCTGATGGTGAAGCACCAAGCGTCCGTGCGGAGAGTTCTCTGACCCGGCATGGGTGTGTGTGTGTGTGTATGTGTGTGTTGGGGGTGTGTATGTGGGCGTGTGTGTGTGTGTGCCGGGGGAGTGTCACCGGGATCAGCCGCCCACAGCAGTTGCACACACCCCCCCCCCCCACGCCCAGGAGACCCACCTGGTGCTGGCCGGCGGGATTCCGCGCAGGGAGCAGTGCACGGAGTGGTAGAGAAGCCCCACGATGGTGGCCCAGGCTGGGGAGAGAGCAGAGGCCCAGGGACACCCGTCAGTGTTCCAGGTGACAAGCAGGAGAGACACAAAGCCCCTCGCCCAGCCGCACGTCCCTCACCCCCAAGAAACCAGGCAGCCCCCCGGGAGGTCATGAAGGAGGCTCAGGCAGGATTCACACTGCAGACTCCACGCAGGTGCGCCGTGCGTCAGCCATGACGGCGACTCCCGCTCCGTGCCCCGAGCCAACCCTAAACACGCAGACGCTGACGCCCAGGGAGAGCCAGGCAGCGGGGACGTCACGGGGGCCTGTGCCGTCCGGGGCAGCCTCCAGCCCTGCCGTGTGCGCACATCCTGTCTGCTATCTGCGCACAGGGGTCACGGCAACGCAACCCTGCAGCGAGGCACGGACCAGGTTCGCCAGTGGTCGTGGCCACCGGGATGACACTGTGCCTCCACCTGGCCCCCCCTCTGTTACATCACGACTGTCAAACAGGAGCCACACGTCCCCTCGTCCTTTCACTCCCTCCGCTCAGCGGAGGATGCCGGGAGGAGCGAGACCAGCCGACCTCCTGCGCTGCCGTGCAAGTGGTTAAGTGTGTGTGCTAACCTGTCAGGAATGTACCTGACAGCCGTGCTCACCGCCCGCCAGGCCCCGTGCTCTACCTGTTTAATTCTCATAACAACACCACGATGCAGGTGTAACACCGTCCCCACTTTCAGATGGGGAAACTGAGGCACGGGCCAGTTCAGTAACTTGCCCAAGGCCACGTGGCCAGAAAGTGGGGGACAGGGATCCCCCCCCAGCGCCAGACTTGTACCCAGTGAGCTCTGCTGCCCCGTGAGCATCCCCAGGTGTGGACCATGAGGCCGCGGCCCGGCTGGGTGTCGAGACCTGAGCACATCCCCACGGGACGCCCCGCCTGGCTTCCGTGTGGGGACATCCTCGGGGAGAACTGCGCTCCCCGCCTCTCCCCAGGGGCAGGGCACACCTGACGTCACGGCGGGTGCGGCAGGTGACCAGTTGGGGACGTTCCCCAGGCCGCTCCTCGCTGGGGAGGGGAGACGTCTGACCCCGGCTGGCCCGGCCCGCACCCCGCACCCCTGAGGCAGAGCCCTGCAGGGCGGGAAGGGAGAGGGGGACATCCATGGGGCGTGTCCACTTTTCAGGGACCAGAGAAGGCAGCGGTCATCGCGGCAAAAATAGCCGGAGCCGCCTGGGCCCCGACGGTGCTCCCTGGTCAGAGTCACGGGTCCCCTTGGTCGCTCATTTTGAATTACGAGACTGGACTTGGGCCCGCACGGAGTAGAAGCCGGGGACCCTGAATGGACGAACCCCTCGCCTGGCCCGCGGCCACCCTGGGCCGGGTCGGGGGGCGATGGCCCATCTGTTCGTTTACGTCCGCTGACCAGGCGCTGCGCAGGCCTGGCGGGACACGTGACGTCCTCCACGGTGGCCTCACCGGGGACAAGTTTCACACGCTGCTCCCCGCCCCAGCCCCCTCCCCGGGTGGGCCCAGCCAGGCACGGCACCGCACTCACTGTGGCTGCGCAAGGCCTCCTGGGGGATCTCGATGTAGCTCTGCCCTCGGGCCGGGAAGCGGTAGCGGGAGAGGTTCGCGGCCCTGGGGAGCAGCTTGACCACAGCGAACTCTGCAAGGAGCGAGGGCGGAGGCCGAAGTCAGCAGCTCGCAGGACCCGCCTGGGAACCCGGCTGTGCCCCTCTTTTAACAGGACGAGCGCCCCCAGGGGGAGTAACCGCCTCCGGAAAGCACGAGCCGGAAGGAGCCGGAAGTAACCGTGACCCGGAAGCTAAGCCGCGGCCGCCCCTCCGGGGCCCCTACCTGTGGGGACCCCCGCCCCTGGCCTCACCCCCACCCTCAGCTCTCCGGCGCCTGGGACTGAGCCAGGGATGCGCAAGAGCCCAGGAGCGGAGGGCGCCGCTCCCCTCCAGGCTGAGACGCGGGAGACTGAACCGCCCGGGACGTGCGCACGGCTCTCGCGGTGCAGCGTGGGCCCCGGGATGCTCTGCGGGAAAGGTGTTAGACCCCACGGCCGTCGCCTGCCTCTGTGTACGGGCTGACGATCGCCTGGTCATGCGGGTCTGGACCGCGCCGCCCAGCTGACACCAGGAACCCGACCCTGCCCCTTCCGCTCCACAGACACTCAGGGGCTGCTGCCGCCGCTGACTCCCACTCAGAACCGAGGCCCGGCCCCCACGAGGCACGTACGTGGCCCCGTGTGCAAATCACGGCCCATCACCCAACCTGACCGCACCCCAGTGTGACTCTACACAAGGCAGCATGGGGAGGGGTGGCCAGGCCCATCCCCGCAGGAACCCCACAGCCAGCGCGCCCCGTCCCGCGCGCGTGCTGCCCACGTACCCGCCACGGAGGAGGAGCCCTCGATGGCGACCCGGGGCTCGCTGGCCTGCAGGTTGGAAGACACGTGGCCCACGACGGTGTCGATGGCGTCGACCAAGCCCAGCACCACTCTGCCGTCCTGCAAAGAACACAGGCCTGAGGGAGCCGCCCGCGCCCACCCTGCTCAGCCGGCGCACGAGGTGGGTCCCTGGAGCCCACGGAACCCACTCACTCACCCCGGCCCCACGGGAGGGAGGAGTCACACGACTGCCCTGCTTCACAGACCAGGAGGACCACAGAGAGGCCACAACCCGACCGAGCTCACGGAGCAGGGACACGGGCCGAGGTGGACCCACTGCCCCGGCCACGGGCTCGTGCGTTTCTGCGCTAATATGTGGTGGCAGCGGCCCGAGCTCCGCCTGCCTCACCAGGGGCCGCCAGCGAGTCCTGGACCTGCCCCCGGGCCCCGAGTGCCTCATGAGGAGGGGCCCGACAACCCACGGGTCCCCTCCGGGACGAGCACACCAGCCGTTCCAGCCCATTCCCCATGAAGGGGTGCAATGCTTTGGGGGTGCAGCACCCCAAGTCGTCTCTGGCCTCCTTGGCCGGCCTGGCGCCTCCCTTCTCCTCCCTCCTCTCCCACTCTGAGTCCCCAAGGCAGAGGGGCTCCTGCATGCGCTGCCCCAGGAAGGCGGGGTGCGTCTTGACCCCGCTGGGCCGACCGTCCCTCACCCTGGGCCGCACTGCGCAACGCGCGGCCTGGGCTCTGCCCTGCGACAACCCCCTCCCGCCTCTCCAAGGAGGCTGGTCCCCGGTGCTCCCTCACAAACCCACGCTCCCCGAGAGACTGACGTGCCGGAAATAGAAAGTCGTGGCCAATTTTAGAAACCCAGCAGGCCGTGGCCTGGTTTCCCTCAGCCAGGCACAGTTGCGCCCACGGAACTCCGTGTTTCTGGCGTGCAGCTCTGCTGGGAGGCGACTGGTTCGTGAGTTCTCTTTAGTGCAAATCAGAGCCTGCCTAAGTCTGAACAGTCCCTGATCATTCACACTTCGTGATGGATTCGCATGTTCCGCATTCAGAAAAAGTTAATTTAAAATGACGCCGCAATACGTCTGCTCGGGGCCCCATCCGAGCCCCCGGCCGCTCCCCAGGCCGCGGCCTCGTGCACAAGCCCCCTGGAAATCTGGAGCCCTGAGGCATCGTGCTTTTTCAAAAAGAATTTGTTTCTAGATCTTACGTTCTTGACCCTGTTTTTCTCCCTTAGCCAATGTTAAACCTCATCGCATTTTACTTGAACTTTCTCAGACAAAAAGTTTCTCAAACATAAACCCTACTGCAATCTTATTAATAATGAGAGAATGAGATGTCATTCTGTCTCACACTGGCAAACATTTTTTTAGTATTTGTACGGGTTCAGGAGAATGAGCTCTTTAACATCTGACATCAAATCCCGCTCTGCCTTCTCCTCCCCGCCCCCGACCTCGGAAGCCGCACGCCGAGAAGGCAGCTTCGGACGGACAGAGCCTGGATCCCCCGGCCTCTCGGTGGGGGACAGTCTCCTCCGACCCGCGCTGGACTTCGACGGGTGAGCAGTCACTCTCCGCTGCGCTGAGCGCTGAGAGCTGCGGGTCTCTCTGTTACTGCGGCACAGCGACGCCTGTCCCGGCCACAACAGTGTTGCAGACGAACACTTACTATCGCTGGAAACTGTTCCTCACATAGGAGAAACAGGTAAAACTGGATACACAGTGTTTATAGAATATGTGCACGTGTGAATTGAACACTAGATTGTAGCAGAAATATGTAAGATCGTTAATAATAACCTCTCAGTCTTGGGATTTCGGGACATTTTACTTTATATGTTTTCTATTATCTGCATTTTCTGACTTCTCCGCAGCTATTTGCTTGTTTTATTTTCTAAGTGAGTAAAATCAATTAAGCTATTTTTAGAAATAAAGAAAAAATTGTTCCATTCTCCCTTCTAACTATTTTGAGCACAGAGAACAAGAGAAGCTTTTTTTCACCCTTTAATCGTGAAGAGCATATTGTCACGTGTTCTACTTTTTTCACTTAACTTTCATTTTCACTTAACCTTCAACATCAAACAGGCTTTTTGTGCCCATTCGAGAATGGTGTGATGGTAAAAAATATGTTCTGTAACATGGTAAAGACCAGGCGGATGTCCCTCCTAGAAAAACATCATCCCCTTCTCCAGAGCCCAGGCCAGTAACGCATCACAGACGCTCATGCTCACGCTCACGGACGCTTCCCCTGAGCCCTGGGGAAGGCAAGGCGCTCGAATCCGCCGCACGGCCAGTCGAACTGGGCTCTGACACCCCAGACATCAGGACTGAGCTGCATCGTCCTTTCATAGATGTGGGCTGGGCCAGGTTACGCCACTTCCAGGAAGAGAGGATGGCTCCCAAGATACACACGTCTTTGGAGATCGAAACCTTCTTTTCTCTTACCTCTGACACGTCCGGCCAGCTGGGCAGTAGAAGGACCTCTCCCACGGCCTTTAGGAAGGTCTAAAGGTGGAGAAAATGACACTGCTTAGCGCTTGTCCTCACGCCTCGTGCCTGAAGACCTTCGGTTCTCCCCGCATCTCCCAACACAGGCGGGGCCTGGACCGTTTCGGCTGCACAACTCCCAGGGACGGCTCACGGCCACCAGGCCAGTGACAGGGAGCAGAGCAGGTGGACAGTGTCTCGAGGAGTGAAAAGAGGAAGCCTCTTGATGTTACTGCTGTAAATGCTGATCCACTGAGCGCTTCAGACAGCTCTGGGAATTGCGCCGGGTGCAGGCTGTGGTACACGGCCCCGCGACCGAGTCCGCCAGGGACCCAACTGCACCTAGTCTAGACTGGGGGCTGCAAACCCAAGCGCGCAGGGGCCAGGTGGCTGCTTAAGTAGACCCGGCAGGTCGGCACTGGGCAAAGCAAAGCCTCGGGCCCCAAAGGGAGGCCCCACGGTGGGCGCAGAGCCGGCCAGAGAGGCCACACCACCCGGTTGTCCAGGACAAGCCTGAAATCCAAACTTTTAAGTAGCAGCGCCTGACGTTTTAACTCTATTTAAGCCAAACATGCATCTACGGGCCGGGGCTCACAGCGCACGGGACACAGACACCGCACGGTTCACCTCAGTGAGATTCAACGCCGTTTCCTCCAACAGCGATTTGTTGGGTAAACTGAGGGACACGTTCTGAAGGTAACTCAGCACAATTCCGGGGCTTTGGAAGTTTCTCCTCTCTTCCGTCAGGTTGGCTATGATGGGGTGGTAGGCGTCGGTGGGTACCTGGAAGAAGGCAGTGACATGAGTTCCTGCTCGGAACCAAAGCCAAATACGCCACAGAGGTTCATGTGTCGACTCCGGGTCCAGCGCTTTTTATACCACGATAATAACC